CGGCTAAAACTTTAAATGGCTATTACTACCTTGTTTTTCAACCAAACAGGATGGGATTTAGAATATAGATAGACAAAATGAACTCCTACAAGAAGGTATGGTCATCATGCACATGCTTGCACGTACGTGCACGTGAAATGAGTAAAATTAAAAATACGCTTAAATGAGTGTATTTTTTTAATACTTCTGGATTAAATGCTTTGATATTAAGTATATTAAAATATTTTGATAGTATACACAAGATGAAATGGTCATTACGCACATGCATTCACATGAGCACGCGTGCAATGCTAAGATTTAAATATATTTTGTATTCTTCTTGGAAAACGTTGTTTAAGTCTAAATTGCATAAAGTATGTCTTATTTAATAGAGCTTACAGGGAATATGGCACCAAAAGGGAGTTGGGGAGCGTTTGGGGAACATCTGTAACGGTCCCCGTTACAATTAGCCCTAGTTAATTAATTAGGTTATTTATTTATTCTTTTCCTTCTACGCTTTAATATTTCTTTTAATGATAAAAAACTTTCTTTCTTGGTTAAATTGATCTTATAATTTTTCTATTCCATATTCATCATTCACTATATTGTCTGTATGATAATTCGTTGCACTGCTTCAATCGCCGTGTATGTTTAAATGGAGAAAAATGTGTCCCCGCTCTCCTTACCAAATTTTTTTTCAAACACCTGCTTCCGTGTAGCCAAATCCCTAAATACCGAGTACTTTTCATTTAAGCCTGCTTTCTTGAAAGAATTGCTTCAATGGTCATTATCACCTTTTTCTTTTGTTCTAATTTCGGACTGTCTCAGGTAAATCAAAAGTAATTTTCGAAGTGCGATATATGCCTCATACAATTCTGTATTAAAAATTTCAGACAGTCAAACTATCTGATATTTTTTAATACAGAACTGTATTTGGCATATATCCAATACGTCATGTATTTTCTACTGTCTTCCGTGATGTAACCTCAGCTCCTTCACTTTTGAACACCAACGAATTAAAATGAGATTAAGCTCCGCCCATTCTGTGACGTTAACGGTCCAACATCTCATCGACCGGTCCAACATCTCACTCAGCAGTCCAACATGCCCGCTCAGTAAAACATTTGGAATTTTAAACTTTTTTCTTATAGATTTGTATAGGAACAACATTTTAAAAGTATAACAATATACAATAATTATAAACTCTTTTGGTGTTGAATTAGGTTTGTTATTCACCAGAAAAATATCAAAGTCTGACACGATATAAGGTATATTGCGGATTTCTAGCTGTATCTTAATGTAGTTCATATAGGAGAAGGAAAAGTCGTATAGGAATTCAAAATTTTCTACGGAGTATCTTTCTCCAGTAGGAGCTGGTAAATTATTCAAAAGTGAAAAAAAAATTCCACAGGAATTTTTTACTTAAAAATAAATTCTACAGAAGTTTTTAAAATCCTGGGGGATAATTATGCCACTTTTGATATGTCAGAATTATCCGGAAGAGCGTTATATGAATTCAATATTTAAAAATATATAAAGTACATGAACTACAATGCTTTAACCCTGCATTTTTATCATGAAATGCTGACATGAAATATATATGCAAGTATAAGGCGTCCTCATGAAAAAGAGAGAGAGAGAGAGAGAGAGAGAGAGATAGAGACAGAGAGAGAGAGAGAGAGAGAAAGAGAGAGAGAGAGAGAGAGAGAGACTGCACTACAATAGAAGGGACTATAAGATAAAGCATAACATTATTTTATTATTATAATTATTATTCTTTTTTTTTTTAGAAATTTAGGTCTTATTTTATTTTTTAGGTCCCTAGAATGGTCAATTTGAAAAGTTTCAATACATAATGCCAAATCTATCACCATGGAAGGGACATGGGATAATGCGAAGCGAGGGATAATTATCAAAACGGTCTTATACATAAATTATCCTTTGTTTAAAACAATTGTTGATGTCCTAGGCACACTCTTCTAATTAGACAGATGTTCTTTATATTTCAATTTATGTTGAAATAAAATTGTCAATTTAAATTCCAAAAATGTAAATAAATATTTTTTAAGTACACGAGGCCTCTCACGTCAATTTCAACTGTTCCCTTTCATCGATGTCAAACACGAATGCAACCTCACAAGATTTACATGCATGTTATTCCTCCTTAGCATTAGACAGAAAGACAAATGCACAAGCTTTACATGCACATTAGACGTTCTTAGCTCCTGACGTATAGCTTGCCGGTAGAAAGATCAAGAAACGAAATTAAAAAAAAAAATAAAAAAAATAAACTAGTTTTCAAACAGTTATCACATAGGAATAAAAAAGAAACGGAAATACTTAACTATATTTATCCTATTAAACGTATTAATCTTTATCTATAATATTGATCTTGTGGACTGGTCCTACCTTAGGGGTCGTTATTTGAACAAACATTGACTTATGTATGTACGTTGTTAAACATACATTTCTAGAATATTTTACTCATATAGAGAAGTCACCATATACAGGTGAAGGTCTTCATTTCTTTACTCCATAATGAGAGGCTTCGGTTTTTAAACTCTCATCCAAAAGACCTGAAACATTCACTTTAAAGTGCCAAGCGCTTGGCGAAAGATAATAATTGATACCCATGTTTTATCGACTTGGGTCAATCGCCGCCGAGATTTGAACACACGCTCTTCCTATCACAGAGAGAGAGAGCGCTCTATCGACTGATTCTAAGTTTCATCATCATTATACCCTTAGCTCACCTTAAAATTAATTTCATTTTACTTTTAAATTCTTAGGTTTTTAAGGAATTGTTAGATTCTTTATCCGATTCTTAGTTAAATATTTTAGTTTTTAATCTACTTATTTGGATTTCTCTCTTGCTACTAATCTCTTGTCCATGAGCCTTATGGGTCACCTGATCATCATGCAACAACTTTCAAGTGATTGAATTTGAGCTAGATGTTGTGGCACTCGCAATTTTGAAAGAGGCATGATTGCTTATCATAACTTAACACTGAGTAATTGCTAAGTTTGGTTACTTAATACCCATAGGCAGGGTAGGGGAACAAAAACTGCATTTCAACTAATCAGTTATATTCAGAAATAATCAATAGTGCCCCTACCACACATGAACCCTTAACCCTAGGTCCACACATATTGCACAATTTTTGAAAAGGCACCCTTGCTTATCAAAAATGTTTGATGAATACGAAGGAGCAGATTTCAAACAATCAATTCATTTTCAGTATATAAGTAGACCCCTCCCCCGGTGGTACCCCTGACCCACGGGCCTTGAAATTCACAATTCTAGAAGAAGGGTCTTGCTCATCATAACTATATAGGTAGTTCACTTGTTTATTACCCAGGAGCAGAGAAGAAGATTTTCACTATATAATTAATCAAAAGAGCCCCTCTCTATGGGCCATAAAATTTGCAATTTTGGTAGAAGCACTCTTGCTCATCATAACTATGCACTTAGTTATTTTATTTAATAGCAAGAAGAAGAGAAGATTTTCAAAGAATTAATGCATTTCCACTATATAATCAATAGAGCCCCGCCCTACCACCAGAACCCCTGACTCCGGGGCCATAAAATTCATCTGTTTATTACCCAGGAGCAGAGAAGAAGATTTTCACTATATAATTAATCAAAAGAGCCCCTCTCTAACAGTTGAACTCCTAACCTTGGGGCCACAAAATTCGCAATTATTGTAGAGTCACTCCTGCTCATCATAACTATGTACTTAGATACAAATGTAGTTTATTTAATACCCAGAAGCAGTAAAGAAAATTTTCAAAGAATTAAGGCATTTCCACAATATAATCAATGGAGCCCCGCCCTAACACCAGCACTCCTGACCCTGGGGCCATATAATTCACAATTTTGGTAGACGCACTTTTCATCATAACTATGTACTTGGTTAGTTTATTTAATACCCAGATGCAGAGAAGAAGATTTTCAAGGAATTCATGCATTTTCACTACCGTAAATCTGGAAATTTTTGCTGTATATATTTTTTTGCAAATTTGCGAGTTCATTGGATCCTCAAAAATTATTTTCTTAAAAATTATTCAACAATAAGAAAATATGAACAAAGGAGTGGTCATTCGCAAAATTTTGAAACGTAAAAAGTAATCAACAACATTTTGACCCCGATTCGCAAAATAAAACCGACGTAAAAATTTCCAGATTTACGGTATATATTTTATATATCCCCGCCCTAGCAGTAGAACTCCTGTCCCTGGAGCGATGAGTTTCACAATTTTGTTAGAGGACCCAATTCTTATCACATTCATGCTAACAGATTGACTGCTTGATGTCCAGGAATAAATAAGAAGATTTTTAAAGTTTTCATTAATTTTAGTGGTTTTTGCCCCAGCCCTAAGGCCATAGGGAGACGGGGACCATAAAATTCACATTTTTTCCCCTTCACTCATAGATGCAGTATACCAAATTTGGTTGAAATCAGTTCAGTGGTTTCAGTGAAGAAAATGAAAATGTTCAAATGTTTACACACGCCGAACGACGGACAATGCAAGACGACGGATAAAAACAGATAGAATAGGTCACCTGTTGTAACTCAGATGACCTAAAACGCAAGGGATAGCCTGTATGTATTGATTTTCTACGTGTCTAGAATACTATCATTGAAGAATAGATTTCTGCATTTTAGATTAATTTCAAAATGCACAAACTTAAGTTAAAATTAGTATATAACTAATATATGTAATTCCCTTCCATACTAATAAGCCTCTAGCAATTTTGGAAATGAAATGCGCAGTTAGACAAAATCAGTATCTCCATATTCAAATTTTAAAAACATGATCATTGTGGTTTTCGTGTGCTTTTTTTAACAAAAATCCCAAAACCTCTACAGAATATGAAACTGTTAACACAAATAGATTTTAAGACCGGTTCACAAAAATGTTTGAATTTAAACTGTATATGAAACAAACCCACTTAAATCCATATAAGGATAGATTATTCCTAATTGCATTAAGCGTGTCTTTGAGAGTGGTATAGCCCTTAAAATGCAGTTACTCGGCCTCTATATATTCCAGAACATTTTCACTGCCGTAGAATATTTTCACCATCATTTAAACAGATTTCGTGAAAAATGCACGTCCTAAGGTAAGAATTTGATATAAATTACCATTGAAAATGACATATAAAAACGAAATCGAAAACTTCAGTTAAGGAAATGTAAGGAAAGCACTAAAAATAGTAAAGTGCACTTATTGTTTTTCTTAATATTATCTAATTCGGAATTAATACTTTGTTCCGCCTTCCGAAAACATTCCTGGTATCATCATTATAAAGACTCTCGACTTCTTTTAGAAGACCATTTTTTTAAAATCTTTTTCTTCTTTTTTCTTATGAGTAGTTTTGATGCCCAGGGGAAAAACTAGAGTATACTCTTTTGCAATTTTTTTGTTTATTTGAAGTTTTTCTTAAACGTGATTAAAATTAATTTTTACAAGGAAATAATAGGTTTGACCAATGACATTTTTACATTTCAAAATATTTCCTTTCATATAATGAGTTTGAACTACTACAGACGAGGAGAATAAATATACTAATTTTGGAATGAACATACTTTTTTCCAAAGGTCATGGCGTTACAAAATCAACCCGTGTAATGATACATGTATGAATATTGCAGTAGAACTGGCAAACAGAACATCTCAAATTTTCAAACAAAATGAAAAAATTCATTCTATAACTAAATATTTGATTTCTCATTAAGATATTCTCATTACATATCCCTTTGGTGTTTTGAATGATTTGAAAAAGACTTACAGAAAAATCAAGCTAACAATAATTATATTCGAAATCCTTTCGAAGGGGTTTGATTTAATGTTTTGATATTCCTTGCAAAGTCAAAGTCACGAACGCTAAAGTCCCTTTTGATAGTATTATTGAATCCAATGCTTGATTTCCTACCTATCAAAATTTTGCAGAATAAAACGTCAACTATCCCATTTAAGTAGGTAAAATAAAAATCGGAAATCACAGAAATTACATGGGGTGTCATTTTTTAGCAGAGGTAACATGCCAGGAAAATTGCGAAGGTTCTTTACGACATATAATATATACATAAAGAGCCAAAGAAATTCCGTTTTCCGAAATTTTTTTAACGAATTAGGGTATCCCATGTCAAATATTATTCAAATAAGTCTGTTAAACTTTCCTTGTCACAACAAAAACTTTACAGCAATAATCAAATTAATTATAGGATGGAAATTGCTGGATACCTACTGCCGTTGTTGATTTGTGGAGTCTTGCCAGTTCAGTCATTGAACACTAATGGTAATTAAGCTACTATTACTTTTAAATCTTACATAACATTTATTGAATTTCCTTCCGTTCTTTGGAGTTTTCATTTCTTCAGTGAAAGATCACAATGTTTCCTTTCTTTATCAATAAATTATATGACAAACTTAAACATTGCAAAACAAATAGCAAAAAATAAATATTAAAAAAAAATTAAATAAAAAAAAAGATTCGAATGTCGTTTCAAAGTTCTGCTCAATTTCTTTAGTTACTAAACCCTGCATGAAGCAACAGAGAAATGAAAATCAGTGTGCATTGGCTGGGAAGTGGAAAAATGAGCTTGGTTCTAAGATGGAAATAACTTGCAACGAAGGAACCATCTCTGGTAGATATGAAAGCACCGTTGGACAAGCTGTAAATTGGTATGATCTTTCGGGAAGATATCTCCAGGTAAATGAGAAAGACTTCATGGTCGGATGGTCCGTGGCTTGGAAAAATCAAGATGAAGATGCCAAGTCTCTCACAAGTTGGACTGGGGTATACTATGCCGAGAAAGACGAAATATGGACCCAGTGGATTCTCGGTGCGTTCAAAAATCAAACAGATTACTGGAGAATTTACTACACTAATCAGAATGTATTTACCAGGGATAATGAATGTTAGATGGAGAAGATATTCAATTGATATATCATTATGCCATTTCTTTTCTTTCTTTCATTTTTTTTTGCATTAAAAAATTCTCATGTTTACTTATAAAATAAAAGTAAAGATGCATTAATAAAATTCCTCAACAAATTTACTTTTCATCTGCTTGTTTTATGGCATAATGAAATGAATAATAATAATAAATATACAACTATGAAATGATTCAGAGGTTTTTCTTGCATTCATAATACTTACAAATCAAAAAAAAGTTAACCAATCTACATCAGTTGACAAGCAGTTTCACATATGTACAGAGTATTAAGAAGATTCATAATATGTTTGAACAGTACCAACCAGAACCAAATAAATAACCTTTGATAAGTTATGGAGGTTTAAGGTCAAGGTTTTCCGACAGAAAAATAACCGACAAGGTAATTGTTAAATAATCATATGAAATAGGAAGGTCTTAGCACTCCGTGTTAATAAATCAAGGGTACTAAGAAACAATTCTCTTACAAATAGGTCAATTTCAAAGTTTAGTAAAAAGTATTTGGCACAATCAAATAAAAGTTGGGTTAAAGAAATACAACTGTGAACTATGAAAGTCTTAGCAACAATTTTTCATTAATTATTGCCATTTTTTTTCAAAACAAATTCAAACTGAAATGCAAGGCTAAAAGGTAATAGGAATGCATCTTTAGAAAAGTCTTTTCAAAAGAAATATACCTGCGAAAAATGAAAGTTCAACTGTAAACATGACTTGAACTCAGGACAAATAGTAAACAATTAATTGCATCTAAAGAAAAGTCTTCTTACAAGAAATATACTTGTACAGTATCTATCCTCAAATATTCTTGACGAAGACAAGCACTGATTTGGTGGCATTTGAAAAAGAGGTCAATTTCCAAGATAAAGTGACAGGGCAACATATGTCGGAACTAAAATGAAGGTGTTATTTTTGAAAAAAAACTCAAGCCTTCGAAATTTTATAGTTAAAGCTCTTCATCCAATCAAAAATTTTGGACAAGTTTTTTTTTATTCTGTTTGTTTGTATGTGTGCGTTTGTTTTGCCGAAAACAGAAAACCAGACAACAAAGAGACCAAGGGGCCACATTGCTCACCTGTACAACTGACTACGTTAAAGAAAGTTCAGTTTTGAAAAGTTTAAATATAAAAGTGGGTTCAGGGGAATGGGAGGGTGCTCAAATCTACACCTCCTAAAGATGCTCAAATTTACACTTCCTAAGGATGTTTTTGAATTAATATGACAAATAATGCCTGTTTATAAGATGAAAATCTTTATTGATATCGCCTTTATATTCCATTGCATACATTTATAGTAGAGCCTCATTTATCCAGACGCTTTTTTCCTTGTCAATTTGTCCAGATATGTGAAGCGTCCGGATATTTGAATTACCAGTAAAACCAGACAAATTAACAATACAAATTCTGTTCCCATGAAAAGTCCTCCGGATCCTGAAACATCTGGATATCTGGCGTCCTGATATCTGAAGGTCCATTGTAATTATGATCCAATTTCATGGCTCCTCTTTTTTCCTGGTTGGTCATGATTTGAACAAATTAAAATCTACATTACCTTTTTAGTTGCTTCTATGTTGATGATCAACCATGGCTTTGTTGTTCTTGTGGAAAATTTCAACGACTTTTCCTATGTATTCCAACGTAAAACCGTGATCACCAGTTGTGTCTCCACTCTAACCCCAGTGGTCATGATTTGAAAAAAAAATCGTAGATAAAACTATCTGAGGATGCCTATATATAAATTTAAGCAACCACAGCTTTGCTGTTCTCGAGAATATTTTTTATGCCTCCTATGAGAAATAGCAGCCTGGTATAGCAGTGAAAAACAACCAAACACAGATATGCAGTTTTGTCGAATATGTCATTTAATTAAATGACATAAAGTTACATGTATAACAATTCATTAAGGGGGATCACCTAATATTAAACAATACAGGTTACATGTACATAGGTGAAAGGTACAAATGTGATCCCGCTGAGATTGACTAGAAATTTACATGCAGTGAACAAATCAGAGTACATGTAAATGTGCATAAAATAAAACATAAATGAGTAAATCCTTGGAGGTGTCCAAACAATTGCGCCACAGGCCCTAACGCAGTGTCACGCAGTGAGAGGTTGACGCCAAACAAGGAGAAAAATCAAAAGAAAACATTTTTATAAAAAAAGTAAAATACAGAAATAAACAGGATTTTTTTCAATATATATAACAACATTGAACTTGAAGTTCATATGATATCACATACTTTTAAGACAAGGCGTTCTTGACAAATAACAAATACTGATGCAACAAAGACATTAACATTCACCTGTTACATGTAGCTGTTCAATTGTGGATCAAAAGAAACCAAAATCGCTGCAAGGAATTTTTAGTATATGTGTAAAATTATGAAGGTCTTAAACTAACCTCCAGAAAATGCAGGCAGAATTTTTAACATACAATTTACATAAGCATCTATCCTCTGAACTCATGTAGCTCAACTCAAGACTATGCCAGCAGATTTTTACAAACAATTTACATGAGCAGTTATCCACTGAACTCAAATATCTTAACCTACGACTATGCAAGCAGATTTCAACACATAATTTACATGAGCAGCTATCCACTGAACTCATGTATCTTAAATCAAGTCTATGCAAGCCAGATTTAATCATACAATTTACATGAGTAGCTATCCACTGAACTTTTGTATCTGAACTCAAGACTATGCAAACAGATTTTTATACATACAATTTACATGAATAGCTATCCTCTGAACTCATGTATCTCTACTCAAGACTATGCAAACAGATTTTACAAACAATTTATATATTTTTATTTGGTATACAATTTACATGAGCAGCTATCCGCTGAACTATGTATCTTAACTCAAGTCTATGCTGGCAGATTTAAACATACAATTTAAATGAGTAGCCATCATCTTACATGTAGATCAAAGACTATGCAGGCCTGTTTTAATGCTGAACCGATGACATTAGTGAGCAGATTATGGAGACATTAAAAGTACACCAATACTGGGCTAATTAACTAAAATACATTATACAAAAGCACCTTAGTGCTGACCTCATAAAAAATTGAGCTGAATTATACAGAGTCTAAGACTATAGGGAATGTTCAATGTGCAAAAATTGATAAACCATTTGCTGGTCTCATGACCAGATTTACAAAATTAATGATTGAACAATTAATGCTACATAAGAAGCTAATAGATTGCCTTATCCTACTTTACACAGTAGATAAATGACAGGTACTGACTACTCAATATATGATGTTCCTTGGCAGTACATATTGGAGAAAATGATATTTGCCATTCAACACAGATATCTACATAGAATCCATAAGAGGGGCCTGAGCATATTGAGGTGTAGCTTGTCCTTCCTGGTGGTGTGGATTTCAAACTTTGGTGCATCAGTTTCCAGCAGCTTACTATGAAGACAGCTGGCATCGTGTTCAGAGCACCTTAATTTCTTGAATGACCTTGTTGATCGCTCGATCATATATCTGTTTTTGAGGTTCCATTTGAGAGCACTGTTTCAGCATTTTTATTTTTGGGACCAAGATTTTTCATGACACTGTGATTAGCTCATTTGGGGCATCTTTTCATTTAAGATTTTTGTTGAACAATTTTGCAGCTGGGATGACGTTCCAATAATGCACAATTTCCGCCATCTGAAATTTTTAAGCTACATTGCCACTCCATTTTGTGCATTGGTTGGTACTGAAGTTAGATGTTGATCACTTTCTAGTTCAGGTTGGCCCATGGCATCGATGTACTGCTACAAGTAACAGGAAACCATGATCAATAGTGCATGAATGTAATGCACTACTAAAGCCTACAACTATGTAGCTACTGGAACCCAACAAAATGAGAAACATTTTTACATTGAGATTCTCAGAACAGTCTTGATGACATGCTACATGTACAGTATGAGAAGAATTATTTAAATATCAATTTTAAGTTTCCCATAATACTGAAAGTTCTTTCCTCTTCAGATTGAAATATGAAACAGAATGTTTCAACTGATGATTTTCAATTTTTTTAAACAATTAAACCTTTGTTCAGAATGTTTCCACAAAGGTATAAAATGGTATGTACACTGTACATTAGTTTGTTCAAAAACTTTGAAACATTATACTGATTGCTTCCACAAAACAATGAAACATTATAATATAATGAACTGTTTCCACAAAGAACTAAAAACATTCTACTGAATATTTCCAAAAAACTTTTGAAACATAATACCGAATGTTTCCACAAATCCTTTGAAAAATTATACTGAATGTTTCCATAAAAATTTTAACCATTAAACTGAACGTTTCCGAAAAAAAACTTTAAACTTTATACCTTATGTTTCGACATACAATTTGAAACATTATACTGAATGTTTCCACAAAACCTTTAAAACATCATACTGCATGTCCCCATCAAAACTTGAAACATTATTCTGAATGTTTCCATACAAAATTTAAACATTATACTGACTTTTTCAACATAAACTTTGAAACATTACACTGAATGTTTCCACAAAACACTAACACATGGCTATGAAACATAATACTGAATATTTACACAAGAACTTTGAAACATTATATTGAATATTTCCAAAACAAACTTGAAACTTTATACTGAATGCTTAGACATACACTTCCAAACAATATACTGAAAGTTTCTACAAAAACTTTAAAACATTAATACTGAATGTTTCAACAAAAATTAGAAACATTATACCTAATGTTTCCAAAAAACTTGACACATGAAACTTTATGTTTCGACAAAAGCTTTGAAACGTTAATTTGATTGCTTCCACGAAAAAATTGAAACATTATACTGAATGTTTCAATATAATCTTTGAAACATTATACATGTAATACTAAATGTTTCCACAAAAAATGAAACATTATACTGAATGTGACCACAAAAATTTGAAATATTATAATGAATGTTTCGACACAAACTTTGGAACATTATACTGAATGTTGAAGACAAAAGCTTTGAAATATAAATTATAATGAATGTTTTCACAAAGACAATAAAGCATACTGAATGTTTGCACAAAAACAATGAAACATTGAACTGAATGTTTTCCCAAAATTTTGAAATAACATATTTAATTTCCAGGAAAACTTTTGATCATTATACTGAACGTTTTCATCAAAACTTGTCTTCAGATATATGGCATTAAATTACCAAATGTTCCCTTTTTCTGATGCTGCAAAAAAAAAATTATCAACTTCATTGATATCTTCGCATCATTAGTAAATTGTGTTAAACATTCTGTTAATTGTTAACTGGAAATGCAAGGAATTGTAAGGAACAGTACAAAACTCTTTATATACGTGTAGCCCTGAACTGAGCATAATTTGATTAAGTTATATAATAATAATATAGAACATAAACTGGCGTACTGGTCGTATTTCTTTGAAAAGATGATATAATGCACAAGCATGGATGGACAGTGAATGGAGTTTACTGAAGGTGGACTCCATCCGGAGCCAGGATCAGAGAGGATAGGAGAGACTCCCCGAGAACCCCCGGTAAGGCCAGAGTACAATCCACAATACTGCAGCTGACATCCCGTGGTGACTGATTGACCACGATCACAGATTCATAAAAAAAAACATGTGTAGATCAGCCGACAGGTTAATTGACCGATAACGCCCTTGAAACATTTTGTGCAAAAAATCAGTTGCTCTCTGTATATTTTATTTTCTCAGATTTGCATACTGCATAATGCAGAAGATTAAAAATGCACTCAAATCGCAATGACACAATATATATATATATATTGCATGAGTAAAAAAATGTTCTAATGACGGAACTACTATAAATGGCGCACATAGAAATGCTTAATGTAGTAATTATCATAAATAGACTATAAAAGAAAGTTTGATCCGCTGAATGATTTAACACGTGCATGGACAATGAAGAAAGTTTAATTCTTGAGTTAACACGTGCATGTGTTTGTAAACAAGCCAATATTTCCATTTGAAAAAAATGATTTGATCAACCACCAAGATAGCATGACTATGTTGGGCCAACATTGGCAAAAGGTTGTATGGTTGGCGTTGGGGGAACAACGTTGGGCCAACTTTGGATCAATGTTACCATGCCAACCTTCTCGAGCATGACATAATTACTCTTTTGGCCCAACGTTGGTCCTACGTTATCAACTTAAGTTCACTTTACTTTCCAAGGAAGGTAGGATATTGAAGAAAAAATAAATTACTATCTGCACCTTGAGAAGAATTATTTTGATATATCTATAGTGATGTTTATTATTTAGATTCCTGGACTAGGATACATGTTACGCATGGCCAGTGGCGGGGGATAATTTGCCGATGTATAGTTCGTATAGTTGGCCCAACGTTGGCCCAATATTTGTAATATACCCTTAAAAAGTGTATTTTAAAGTTGGTAGTAGTATGTTGGCCCAACGTTGGCCCGATGTTTGTAATACACCCATAAAGAATGAGTCTTATCAAGTTTGTAGTGGAATGTTAGCCCAACGTTGGCCTAATGTTTGTAATACACCCTCAAAGAAAATGTCTTATGGAGTTGGTAGTAGTATGTTGGTAGTAGTATGTTTGCCCTACATTGGCCCATTGCTTGTAATACATCCTTAAACAAAGTGTCTTATAAAGTAAGTAGTGGTATGTTGGTCCAACGTTGACCCAATGTTTGTAATACGAGGGGTGATCAAAAAGTTCGCAAAATAATTGATTAACTTCCACAAAAGAAACAATATTTGGTTTTAGCGTTTATTATATTTTAAATTAGTCCTCTCCTATTTTAATGTACATCTCCCACCGTTCTGCTCATGCGCAAAACACGTGATATAGGCGGACAAATGACCTCCTCCGTAGCGTTCTGTCACAAAAACTGAAAGATTTTTCTAAGTTTTATATTTCTTTCCATGTAAGTTAATGGTCAATTCTCTGCAACAGAATGGGTGGATGAGAATATCCTTTCTAAATATAAGCATGGCGATCATAAAAACCCAAATCCTCTGTCTTGGGAAAGACGTTTATTCAAGGTGGATAGAGCCTCCTTTTTATCATATCTAATATACTTAAAATCTAAAGTAAAGGATATGTTACGTATTTAATAATTATATTAATGTTAAGATATTCAACTATTTTTTAAATGTGTAAATTGGAGGTCTTGGATAGCAAATTGCCTAATTAAAAACACATCTCTTTTCAAACTTGCTTTCACTGGGCAAAATAACAAGTGTCATTTTTAACCATCTGCCTTCCTTCACTAAAACGACAAATCCAATCATTGATTGAATTTATAGGAAGTCATTTGTCTTGATAAACTATGTGCAAATTATTATACGCAATTTCAAAGGTATTTCTAAGATATGCCATAGATTATGCAGTCGTTTGTTGAACGAGTAGAACAGAGAAAAAAAAAACAATTTTCGCCACAAGTGACCTACCACATTGTGACGTCATTTTCACATTGTGACGTCACAAACAAGGAGCAAAACTGTATTCAGCAAATGGTATTTATAGAATTTGTGTATGGCTGTGTGTGTACCAAGTTTTATTTAATCTGAATTGTGGTTGTGTAGATATAGAGATAGTTCGCGAACTTTTTGATCATCCCTCGTACACCCTTAAAGAAAGTGTCTAATCAAGTTGGTAGTAGTATGTTGGCCCAGCGTTGGCCCGATGTCAGCACGATTGTTTTTTTTTTTTTTTGTTTAGGTGTTTCAAAGATGGGATACTTATATTGGGCCAACGCTAATACTGCCAACTAAATGATGGTGTCAATTTTAGCTGCTGAGCTTTACGTTGGGACAACGTTGGTTCTTATATAAGTATTAATGTAGATGTACATTCTGAAATAATTAAGAGGATATTTTGTGTCCATACTTTTAACTGGATGACTGTTTTTGTTCAGATAAAATATTTTCAACATTCTAACTTTGAACAAAAGTGATCACAGCACCAAAGACTGTTTTAATATATTTTTTGAATCTCATGCATGTTTATTTATTTGAAATAAAACCCTTTGAATTATGAATTTTTACATGAGCGTTATATTCATGAGAATTTTGAGAACACTGAATAAGTTCTCAAGAACAGGATGTGAATGAAGCCCACATATACATAAATCCAAATGACACAGCTCTATCATTAAATTGAAACAAAAATTAGGCGTTCGCTAAAGAATGAGAGTCACGCGGCGATTTAAACACCAAACCGTGGAGTGAGCTCTCAGATTCAATTGATCACAGGTGGTGATAGACTGAAAATGCGGAGCAAGTTAGAAGAAATTGAATTCAAATTTGTGAATTATACACTTGCTAAAGCTGCATTTAGAAGCGATGTAAGTATATTTATTCTTATTTATTCAGGTTTACTGTTGAAATTGATTCGGAATTCATTCTTTTCATGTTAATTTTTACACACAAGCACTGTAAGTTAATGTAAATACAAATATATTTATAATTCATGTGTATACAGATTGCGCCCATGACAAAAGGGTCCTTATGGCATTTTTGCTAAAACAGAGAAATAACGTCATAAAGATGTGACGTCGCAGGGTGACGGCGAACTTCGACGCAGATTTTTTTTTTAACCACGTGTTTTGACGTTTGACGCATCCCGAGTTTTTATTGCTGTTTCCAACATGTGGAATTTATATTCATTTATAAATTAATTTAATCAATATCTGAATCTCCTAATCCGCTGATTTTAATAGATATAAATAAAAACATTTAGAACTGGTTTCTTAACAAACATTATTAAATTATACGTCTCTATAATACCAAAAGTTTTCCTACAGGCGTAATTAAATGTATAGAAGCTGTAGACAAGGTGTTTTCTGATAGCATATTGAACCTTTATACTTTAGATAAATTTTATTTACATATTTATACCATTTTTAGAATACATCTTAGACAGGGTATATCGTAAAAAAATATTGCAAAGGAAAATTGTCTTCCTACTTCTTTGAGATCCGCTCCACCACTCTCAAATATACACCGCGATCGTGTCGATCACATGTAAACATTGATTCATCGGTGCATACTGCTTAAACTGTTATTAAATTGTTTGTACAATTAATATTGTTGAAACTAAACATACATCTTCCACGATTTTTACAAATCTAGCAAGAATGTGTAAGAACGATAGTCAAATTAATTGTATTTTCTATAAATAAAAATAGGAAAGATAACTCTGATGCCAACAATCGATGTAACAGGGGTACCAGACAGGGACATTCATTATTTTAATTGCGTACTTTTTCACGTTCGCATGAATTTTCTCCCGGATTATAAAAGAGATATTTTATGACCAAATAAAAAAGAAAAAACTTTTAATCGTCATCATAAAATATTTTTTCATTTTTAAATAAAAAAATATTGTTGTACTTTGGGAATAAGGTTTATGGAAAGCTATGGAAAGCCGTAGGGTACCCCCACATTATTATTATTTTTTCCTATATAATCATACCAAAAATAATTATGTCCTCCAAACCTGCTTTTTACAACATTATTATTATTTTCCTGCAACAATTATAATCTTGTCTGTTAAATGTGTACACATTATTTTTATTGTGTCCTACAATTATAATTATTCACTTTACAACAATAATCTTGCCAGTCAATATGTAGACACATTATTATAATTTTTCGCCTCATGATTATAATCTTGTCAGTCGATGTTTTAAAACATTATTTTTATTTCACCTCAAAATTATAATATTTATTCTTACTTTTAACAATTATAATCTTCTTTGCCCGAACGAACACATTATTTTTATTTCGCTTCAAATTTATAATAATTATATATTCCACATCGATCATACAATTATAATCTGTCTTACTCCAACAATAATAATCGCGACCAAAAAAGTTGCAACATTATTATTATTTAGACGCCTGAAATCAAACATTTGTGTGATTTTGATGTACTGAACAATTATAATCTTGTCGATTTTCTTTTGGGAAAGATTATTATTTGGACGCTTGAAAAAGTAAACGTTTGTCTGTCGAAGACAATCACGTGGTTTAAGGTTATGTGCTTTCCCTATCAACAGTGCCGAGTACGGCGCCAGTGAAAGGCAGGCGGTTTACCGGTAAGTAAAGATGATTTTGTTATATTAATGTACAAGTAAGTAAATTACATTCATTCGATAAAGGAAATGTCTCAGAAATCAGCTGTCAGTATGTTGTTATTAAACGACAGCTTCGGAAGAACTAGTTCGAATTATCTCTGTACTTTTGTATAGGAGAGTGAGATTGCATAAATGCATGCCATTGCATTGTGAATTTATGTTCCAAATCTAGATAAAGTGGCGTTAAATTGAATGATATAGTGCATATATTTACTAACAGATATTTTTTACTTTTAGTTGATTAATAGCTTGTTCTTTACAGTTTTAACTTGAATTTTCTCTGAAGTAAGTTATTTACATTGAGATTTCCCAAATGAAAAAGAAATGTATCAAAATACTTTCAAAATATCTTCAAAACACTAACAAATCATAGTTTTATATTTTGTTTCCATGTTTTGAAAGTGTTGCATTTAACAAAACATCAATGCAACACTTTAGAGGATAGGGATGGCATGGTATTTTGTTAATATTTCATTACAATGTTGGTGTTTTATTAATGTTTCATTACACTCTGCAAAATCAAATTGCATTCTGAAAGTATTTCGTTACACTTGTCTTCACCAAAGTAATATTTTGTTAGCATTTCATTTGACTTTAGTAAAAGTAAAAGCATTTTGAATGTATAGGATTAAACTTAAAACATAAAATATAAATTCCAAAATTAAAGCAATTCTCAGTCAAAAAAAAAAAAATTCAAAATAAGTCAGAAGTTATTTTATTCCCTTTAAATATGTAACTTTTACAGACGGGGTAATATATACACTGGCTGAAAGCTCTCTTAACAATTATACTGTGTATACAAAGAAAAAAGCATGCATATATTTCATCTCCTTTGTAAACCCGGTAAATAGACTAGCTACCAGGTAAATCTATACTAGCTCTTATTCATATGACAATACATGTACAATGTTCAAAAGTTACTGCACTGTTGTGTTTTAATCAGAATTAAAGACAAAGAATCTTAAAGCCTACAAATTTCTCTCATGATGATTAGGCTCGTCACAAACAACGATGACATCCCCCATTTCTACACAAATACAGAGTTCTAAGATGTTTCTCAGAGGTAAAATGGTTTCATTTTCAGATTTTTGAAAAAAATGAACATGGGGGATTTCAACACCAAGAAAATTTTTCAATACAAATTCATCAGGAGTAATGTTTTCATGATGCATATTAAATAAAGTAATACTCTTTGGCAAAAGTTCATTGACACAGAATATTTGCCTGGAATCAACTTCCCCAAACCATTTTACAAAACCATAACATGGTTTTTTCTCATGAAAATATCGAACAGTATAAGAATTACGCTTAGAAACTCTTTTATAGTCTAAACTGTGATAGATAACTCCCCTGACCACTGCCCTACTATGGAAATTAATATGAAACTCTACGTTGTTTGCTAACTTGATAATGCACAATCTTAGCTCTTCTGAAAGTTCCTTCTGAAATGATCTCCCAAGTAAACGAAATTGTGACACATCAGCACTCTCTTGAATTTTCGAAAGTTTTTTGACAAAGTCAGAAGCAATTGATGTATTTGAAATCGACTGCGACATCAGTGGAAGCATCTGAAACACGTGTACTGCATTCACAATTTGTAAATCAATATTCTGAGTTCCGTGAAATAATTGCAATAATTCTCCATTAGCATCTTCAAAAGAAAAGCAAGAGAATGCCCACAAGGGCCCAAGTTCACGCACTGTTTGGGGTAGGTGGAGCAATGAATGTATGTTAATGGTCAAGTATTTCTCTGCATATAGAGAAGAAAACATAAATACAAAATATCTTAGGAGTTCTTCACTTTTCTCTAAATCAGAGGCACTTATGCTTGATCTGCAAAGTAAAGAAATACCCTCAACAAATGTGCAATAGTGGTATAGAAACACTGGTGGTAGAAGATCTGCTATACATGGTATTGAGTAATAGAAAAGCCAAGTGCGGAGTTCAGAAGCTTTCCAAAATTTTAAGTGCTCACTAATTGATCGTGGTTTCCGTGATATTATGTGTGGTGGTTTGATGTCCTCTAATCTCATATCAACAATTTCTGTATAGCGGTAGAGAGAAAAATTGTTCAAACTATGGGCCAAGTTGAACCATAATTTCAATAAAAGTCTAACTGTACCGAGACACACAAGGTGCATGTAATCAATAGCAACACTTTTTACTCCATCAACAAATGGACAAAACAGAATAATTGATGGTCCCTTGATTCCATTGATGTGTGAAGTAGATTTCAGATTTGTAACTTTCTCAGCATCCTTTATGATGGATTCATGGGTTCGAAGAGGTCCTTTAGGATCATCTTTTTTATAATCAAATACTCTTATGTTCCCGCCGGTCTCTGTACGGTGATTTTTTCCCATTTGTAAGCATTTTATACAACATCCCTCTCCATTGTGTTGGTTGATGTTCAAAACAGTGCTTCTTGCAGGTAAATCACAAGAAATGGCAAGCAGAAATCCTTGAACAAGTACAGTTGCTTTACTAAATGTTGTTACTTCAACACCCTTTTCTAAATCATTGAAAGTTTTACACATTGGATCAAGGAATATGTTCATTGATGGCTTAGCAGAGCCACACCACAATCCTGCTAATATCATGTACTTTCTGCTTTTTCGCATTTTGTATGGCAATTCATTAATTAGCAAGAAGATTGGCCATAATGAAGTTTTCGAACTTTTAAAAATCGGCACACCGTCAGTGTTGAAAACAAAACTTAAGTTATATGGTTTACTTAGCGGGCCATCATTTTTAGACAAATCTTTGTACTGCTGACTATCATATATATCTTCAATGTTTTCTTTCTTCTCTTTGTTCCTGGAAAATCTATGTTTCAAACCCTCTTCAAATTCTTGTCTTGAATAGAAATTTTTGAGTTGAGAAATTATATCCAGTTCTAAAAAGTACTCTTTACCACTTGAAATCCTTAGATCTCTGTTGCATACAGGATTTGGACAAAAATGTTGTACCTTATCAACTGCTGTGTAGCAATTTGCACAATAAAAATGCTTTTTGGCCGGCATTTCCAAATTTGAAAAAAATGTTTTGAATCTATATAAACTTTCAAAAGCAGGGTTTGATGGTAGAAGATGTAAATTTATCAGAGTCAGAAGATCACATAATTGAGAAGAGGTCAAGGAATGAGTCATTGCAAATATCCAAATAAGGAGTACACTTGTTCTTAATGTAAGCCAATGACCAGGTTGAACTGGAGTATCGTATGCGTCTTCTCTTTTTTCTGTGTCCGATGTAACTTCTTCTTCTTCTTCAATATCGTCTTCTTTCCTAAGATCATTGTACTGATTGAAGTCTAATTCTCCCAACAAAGTGTCAAGGAGTGTGCTTTCCTGATGCTTAATGAAATGTATCAAATCATTTTCCTGACTGCATTCTAAAGAAGATTCTCTGAGTCCATCTGTTTGATATTCTGCACAATTTCCTTCATCATTTTCTTTAAGTGCCCCATTTCTTTCTTCATTTTCTCTAAGTGTTCCATTTGTCTTTTCATCTTCAAAGATGTTGACAGGATCCATATGATCAAATCTTTCTTCTTGATGTACATCATCCATATAGACATCCGAAGTATCAACATGATGTGTCACCTGATCTTCCTGTACAGAAAAAACCTCCTTTGATGAGCTTTCTTTTGAACCCAAGTCACTTGGTTGGTCATCTCCTTGGGCTAATCGAGCCTTTTTGAATCGCCGCTGATATCTTCTGGGTCTCACATGTTGTCTTGCATTCACGTAAAAACCTGTTAATTCACAGAAAACAAATTATTAAAAAAAGATTTAATTATAATCATAAATGATAGTAATTATATTGAGAAAACTTTTTTTATGTACATCAAATTTGCTAATTTAAATTGCAATTATTTTAGCTTCCAGCACCCCCCCCCCCCAAAGTTCCTGCATTCTAGAGATTTTATAGGGTAAAAATGAGGTCAACCTAGTAGACATATATATATTTTCTAGATGAAACTGTGATTTACATTAGCTTTGACAATATAAAGGGGGGGGGGCATGTGCAAAGTGCCCCCCCCCTTAAATCTGCCACTGGGTTCAAACAGAATTAATTTAATTAAATATATCACATAGATTTCATAAAAACTTATTACAGCTGATACAATACATGAATTAATCGTTTTCTCGGGAAGAAATAGATCCTCACAGAAAAAATATATATAATAATTCCTTATTTATACCATTGGCGTCAGAAGCAAATTGAAAGAGGGGGGGGGGGGCTAAGAGTAATGAAAAAAATTTCTTACCTTAAAAAAAAAACCTAACAAGCAAAAAAAAAGAGGAAATGTCCATTTCCCAAAGGAAGGGGGTGGGGGTTAGGTTCGAATTTCATTAGCAAATTTTTTTTCTAAACACCAAGACTTTACCCATTTTTCACCTATACTTCGAGGTGTCTGTGGAAAGTGGAGGGAGGGGGTTAAACCTACGAAACAAAGTTAAATGTCTATACTTAGTATATATTTGGAAAAAAAATAAGCTCCCCCCCCCGTTCCGAAACAAGAAACAAATATATAAATCAAATTATCATTGCATATATATACTTTTTTCTATATGTACCACTTTGACCAAGTGCCATTTAAACTAAGTGTCGTTTTCACTAAGTGCCATTTTGAACAGTGCCGTTTTGCATAATCCAGGTACTGTTTTCACATGTGACTTGTTAAAAAAAACATCTTGTATACATCGCTTTCTGTAGGAAAGACGCATAATTTCAACATATTCCATCTATCACTTAATTAAGCGCCATCTTAAAATATCTTACCTTCTAATTCCTCCTCCATCAGAAATATTAAACCACTAAACAACTTCGTTAGTTGGTAATGCTCAACAGGACGTCACATTTTTTGTACAACACGGATCAGTAAAACGTTTGCGATTGCTCAAAATTAAAAGCGTTTGCTTCACATAGATGTCAGTTAGATTCGTGATCTTAATAACGCTTCAAATAAAATGATTATTTGACGGTGTTTCAAGCTTACTTGTGACACCGATCCCCCTTATAATTTTGGCGCACAATTTTTGGCGGAATATCATTGAAACACAGGCCCTATAAAATGACCGATTCGAAGAGGAGGGTTAAAGCGACGAATAAAGGCGATCATGGTAAGTTTTTTCATATTCATTTTTACCAGTTGTTAAACAAGAAAATGTGCTATAAACTGCTTCTTTGTAAATTGCCGAAAGATGAAGTCTTAGAGCTGTGACCGTGCATGTGTAAGAGCAAAACGTTTACTATAAATATAAGATAAAAGGGGCAGATAATTTCAGTTTTTTTCGAGCAAACCACAGCACAACATCGAAAATCCCTTGATTGGAAGGTAACAGGTATATTTATTTATTGATTAAAATCACTTTGTTGCTCATTACAATGCAAAATTATACATTAATTATTAATTATTATATTTATTGGCCATCTTTAAAAATGGTTTGTTGCCCTCTCTCGACTGACTGACTAAAATGGTCCACTGCAGTGCATTGTATATTGAATTTACGTATAATTATTAGTAAACCAATTGGTCTACACAGAAGTTTATTAAATCGGACTGTATCATTATTGAAATGCATATTTTATAATTTTATAGTATGGGTACTGGTTCATTTCGATGACGACATATATTCAATTTGTAAACTCCAAGACCTCGAAAATGAAGAGGGAGAGAGTGGGGATAATTTGAATCTAAAAGAAGGATCAAGATGCATGGCTTTATTTGAAAAGGAATTCTATCCAGCTACAGTTATTTACCAGGATGGTTTGTATCTATACATATCTAAATCTGTTATTAATGTTTTTAATTCCTCCCTTGAATGGTTTCAAAAAGATCGTAACAGTTTTAAAAAAATATTTTTAGAAGGATATCTGAATATTCCATGTTAATGTTTTATCTATTGATTTAATTTGATAATCAATATTATATTAGGTCCATTTCGCAACAAAGAATATTTTGCATATTCTTGGAAAAAAAATCTGCAAAGTCGATCTGTATTATATATAGGCCCCATTTTACACATCATATAGAGTAAAAAAATTTTTTTCAAAACCATCCAATTTAATGCTGATTTCATTTAAGCTTTGTTTCTATACTGACAGACAACAAAGAAGATGTCATGAGAAAGAAAAAAGATAGGGAGGCCAAAAAAAAGAACAGCAAGAAAAGAGGTAATATTTAACACCAAAAATTTCAAAATATCATTTAATAAGTTGACGATACGACCGTTAGAGCGAGCGCAAACTATTCTGTTGTTTTGATTTAGATCAGGCTCGTCAAACCGCACGTGGCGTTTGTTGCTTCTAGACTGACGTCACATGACATCATATGTAAGTTACAATATACCAAGAAAAAGCCTAAACAGTGCTGAAAGTTAATGAAAAATGTTTCGTTTTCTATTTATATTAAATAGATTTCCATTAAGTAAAGGCGAGTAAACTTTTTGTTGAATAATTTCTATAATTCTCACGAGAACGTAGCTAAAACAAGTGAAACATTGTGGGTCTAAATTACGGCATCAAAAAATTCATCGAATGAAGTGCAGTAGTCCAAATTTTCTCTTCGCACAGGCGTTGCTTTAAGAGCTCGCAGTGACGACCGTCCCTTTGCTACGCTTGCTATCAAAAACGTTTTGTAAGGGAATTGGTCAATCCTTGACAGCCTTAGACCCAAAATATTTCTGATGTACAAAATTATGCTTTGCATCATTATTGCCATTGTGACAATAACTTTCTAGAAATTATTCCTATGTAAACTTTCCTAATATAATTTCTTTACATTTTCAGGAGATCAAGACTCAACTTGCTCAATGCAACAGGCAGACAATGCAGAAAAAGTAAATGGTAAGTACATGTATAAACATTTGCATGTTAAATTTTTACACATTCATGAATAACCATTTTGAAGAAATAGCTGAAATAAATGCTTACATATTTACCATAACAGGGATTAATCTAGGTTTTGGGGGAAACTGTCCTTTCTCGAGAAATTGGGAAATTCAGCCAGGGTCTGGGAACCACTTGAGCCAATCATGCAGGGCAAGCCCTGCTTGGGGCCAATTGAATTTCAGTATTTTTATGATCATTTAACATGTTTAAAGTGCATAAAGTAGCAAAGTAAAACCATATTTCTCATATACTGAAACATTTTATTTACACTGAAAGATTTTACTTTGAATTTTCAATTTTTATGAAGGGGAAAAATATTTAAAGTCTTTATTATTGTAAGGGAAATATTTTACTCATCAAAAGGGGGAAATTAGACCTTTTGGGGAAAATTTCTCTAGAGGAAAAATACCTTATATCTTATATCGGTAGTCAATATGCCCTAGACTAATCCCTGCATAAATTAAACTTCCTCAATGAAAAACATAATAATTGTTTTTTTATTTTATAAAGGAAAATCTCAAGAGCAAGACAGGCCGAGTGAGAAAGGTAAGACTTTAAAATTGATAGATATATGTATGTATGTCTTCAAATAAATTCTATTAAGAAATTGTAAATGTGGTTAAACAAGTTTGTGTTTATGTCCAATTCCTTTTTTATATCCTTTAAAGTAGAAACTTGATGAACAGAAAAAAACTCAATAAATATGACAAAACTTTCTTTTATCATGTCATACTAATTTTTGTAAGAATTGATTTTCAAAAAAAATTTCGATCAAAACTAGTCTGTTCACAGAACAGGAAATCACTTTTAATGACCTTAGGTAGAATGAATATTTATACCATTACAAAAAAAAAACCCAACCTGGAACAAACCTTTTTTTAAATGATGTTCTAATATTTGAAAAATTAATGGTATAACCTTATTTTTAATTAAAGCTGAAAAGTCTAAAGACAAAAAGGTGCAGAAGTCCTCAAAAGGTAAATAAAAAAAAGGATAAGAATTTAATGAAATACGATAAAATTCAGGTAATAATCACAAATAAACGAGAATTAACTTTTAACTTAAGTGTATTTTAATCTTTCTTTTAGAGACGGAGAAGAAATCTAAAAAGAGAGTTAAAAAGTCTACTGCAAATGAAGATGGTATGGACTATAAGATAAAATTTATTTTAGAAACAGTAAATTGATTGCTAATAAATATAACTATTTTCAATCTCAAACATTGCTCTGAGTCTTCATCTATTGATTCGCCTGCTTTCTTACAAATTTATGAAAAACGCTTGATTTTGTTCTCTCTAGACAGTGACGAAGGCAGAAAGGAAAATATAAATGCTGAAATGAAAAAAAAGAAAAAAGGTTAGTGAATGAATAGATATGTTTGTGTTATATATTTATAGTATATGTTTAACTTGTTCAAATTTTTTAAATTAGAAGTGAAATGGTTCACTGGAATCAAATCATCACAGTATTTTTATTTCATATAAAGTCCTGCAATTTTGCACTACAATCTCTAAAGAGAAGTGGGGATAAAAATTGTAGGGGAAAAACAAAGACAGACATTAGATATCTTACTTTTCCTTGCCCTTCTCCCCCAGCCTCCTTAAACCCAATTAATATTGAAAAAAATTGCCAACATTTTCTGCATAATAAAAGAAAGTTCTTCTAATATTTGTTTACACAGAAATTCAAGCTGAAAACAAGAAGAAGAAAGAAGCAATAATAGCCTCCAACCAGCAAATTGCAGCTTCACTTTTTGCTAAACACAAGAATGTAGAAACCAGCAGGAAACGTGTGCTTGAGCCCTGCAGCATGAATGCTCCTGAGGCCACATCCATCAGCTACACTGCTGTGCCAGTCTGTGAAAAACCTAGTCTTACTAGCCAAACTCAGCAGGTTGCGTCGTATATAAACACGAACATTTCACCAGCCCGTCACTTTGGTTATCAAGAGCCAAGTCCTCCTAGCCAAACCCAGCAGGTTGCGTCGTCTATAAACACGAACATTTCACCAGACCGTCACTTTGGTTATCAAGAGCCAAGTCCTCCTAGCCAAACCCAGCAGGTTGCGTCGTCTATAAACACGAACATTTCACCAGACCGTCACTTTGGTTATCAAGAGCCAAGTCCTCCTAGCCAAACCCAGCAGGTTGCGTCGTATATAAACACGAACATTTCACCAGCCCGTCACTTTGGTTATCAAGAGCCAAGTCCTACTTGCCAAACCCAGCAGGTTGCGTCGTCTATAAACACGAACATTTCACCAGCCCGTCACTTTGGTTATCAAGAGCCAAGTCCTACTTGCCAAACCCAGCAGGTTGCGTCGTCTATAAACACGAACATTTCACCAGACCGTCACTTTGGTTATCAAGAGCCAAGTCCTCCTAGCCAAACCCAGCAGGTTGCGTCGTCTATAAACACGAACATTTCACCAGACCGTCACTTTGGTTATCAAGAGCCAAGTCCTACTTGCCAAACCCAGCAGGTTGCGTCGTCTATAAACACGAACATTTCACCAGACCGTCACTTTGGTTATCAAGAGCCAAGTCCTCCTAGCCAAACCCAGCAGGTTGCGTCGTCTATAAACACGAACATTTCACCAGACCGTCACTTTGGTTATCAAGAGCCAAGTCCTCCTAGCCAAACCCAGCAGGTTGCGTCGTATATAAACACGAACATTTCACCAGCCCGTCACTTTGGTTATCAAGAGCCCAGTCTGACTAACCATGCCCAAGAGGTGTCAGCAGACTTGAACAATTTCAGTGGTGAAAATATGTGTAATTCTCCTCCCAGCGACAGAACTTTACCAGACAGTCGATCCGAGTCTGAAGATATTCTTGACATAAGCAACAACACCAGGTGCAAGGGTGGATTTATCTCTACATCATACACGGTCGTCAGTGGAGATGATTTCTGTCCTAGATCTCCATCACCACCCCCAACTTTTGAAAGCTGCAACGTTACAAACAATTCCTTTGCAAACCAAAATTGTTTTGATTGTGAAATGAAAGACAAAATTATTAAAGATCTAAAGGCAGAAATCAACCAACTTCAACAGAGTGGTGAGTGCTTAAGTATAGCTGAGACTTGTTACATGATTTATGCTGTCATCATAAATTGTTCAGAGATAAATCAGGGGAAAATATTACAGTTTACATAAATATTCATTAATTTGCAGCTTCCTCCTCAAATCCTGAAAACACCGCAAGTAAAAAACGTAAATATCAACCGAAGACCCGGCCAGAGGTGGAACTGGCAGACTATGTAAGTATGAATTTTAAAGTTTATACAAGAACTCTAATGAATTTTTTAATGAAGAAAAAATTTAATATTGTAATTTTTAAGTAATTAAATATAGTTCTTAATGGGGCATTTCATTTAATTTTGTTCAATTTTTTTTTACATTTTGGAAAGAAATGTATAAAACATTTAAAATAAAAAAGATTTTTGGTACATATTAATGTTCTTCAGTCTATTTATATTTGACATGCAGCTTTTAAAAAAAAACCAACAAACACCTTTTTGTTATTTTTTCATTCTCTATTTCTTTCCTTTTTTTTTAAAAAAAGATTGAAATAGGTCCAAATGGAGTCATACCGGAGGGCTTTCATCTTTTGGCACCTGGTAGTAATATTGCCATTAATTCATTGTGGATGCACAACACACTTTCGCTCATATCAAACCAAAGACGTCGGAAAAAGAAAAAGGCGACAAAGAAAGGAAAGGAAGTTAGAGAAACCCGTGAGGTTGAAATACTGAAGAAGTTGATGGATGGTTTTTTTGACCCTTGGGATTTGGCAGTCGATGGGGGCACGGCTATGTTTAAGCAAAATCCCATCTACGCGGGTTTGCAATGTGAGTATATTCTCGTTTCTTCAAAATATACACAGAAGTATAGCTGTTATAAAAGGAATTACATGAATCGATGTTTAAGACTATAAAAGTATTATTATTTATAGTGTAATCGGTAAAATATGGTTGTTTGGTTAAACCTGTTGAATAATGCAAGCATCGGATAAGTAAAAGCTGTAAAAAAAAGTTTCAAATCATGTTAAATGTGTTTTGTCTAAATTTTGATTTATTTGATTGGTCAGAAGAATTAACACATACCTTGTTAATTCTTTGCAATTATAGCAATCATAATTATCATTCTTGACTTCTATATACTGTAAATCACTTTTTATTTGGGAAAACTTTATTTTTGCATAATTACGGGAGACAGTGAGCTCGCAAAAATTTCATTCTCACGTCTAATAGTATTCTTTAAGGTTATATAAAGAATGACTCCAATTCATGAAAATTATGTGTCGCTTATAAAGAGTCAATGACTATCTCGCGAAAATAAGGTGTCGCAAAATTATAGTGATCTACAGTATAGAAATTGTCAAGACCTATAGCTGTTAAACAGAGAGGTCTTACATTTACAGGTAGTTAATTTTTGGCATAAAATTTCAGTGTATGCAACACATTCTTTGAAGATGGACGTCCCATACTTTAAGAAGTGTTGGAATGCGAAAATGGTTTCAGCTAGACAGACTGTTAAACGGCAGTCCTCGCTGAGCTCAAAAGCTGCATCAGAGTAGAAAGCGATCACATTTCCAGAATGTTTTTGACAGTTGTTTTTCTAGTTTGCTTTTGAAATTCAAAACGTAAGAAATGAAAATCTTAAATACAATACTTGCTATACAATTCTCGGTGACTTAGTTATAATTGAGTGTTACTGTATATAGTTCTTGTTAGAGTTAGAGCTTCAGTTTTTGTCTGAAAGAGGGGATGTTGATGTTCTGTAAATAAACTTTTTTTTACTTATTTTGATTTCTGTATACGTTTTCATCTTTTAAATGTTCTAGTCAGTATTTTACATACCGGTAATTTTACTCTTTTTTTACTGTAATTTTTAAAATATTATTTGTTGTCCAATGTACTCAATCTATTTAATTATTTAAGGTCAGGCGACATGTTCCTCAAATATATCTTTTGTAGTTCTTCATTATATAATCGGTCATATTTGTCATTCTCTTGTTATTTCTACATTGTTTTCAACATGTTTTTAAATATAAGTTCATTAAAAATTGTGATATAGGCCACTTAGATAATTACCAATATGGGATATATAAGAAATATCACCCTGTGGTATCTTGTCCAAAATTAAGTGCTTAGTAATGTAAAGTACCCTAATTTTTTGTGATTGTACAAGTACCTACATGTATACCGGTATGTCATCAATGGCAAATTCTTGATAAAAATTATATAATTTTGAGGAACATGTCAGTTTTTTGGTTGTTGTAATTTTGTGACATTAATATTAAAGACCGTCCATATCAGTTGCTATGTACACACCAGAGATTTTTTTATTTGTATATATATTTTGGATTTATTTTTTGCTTTTTTCATTCAGCTGTTCTAGTCATAGTGATGTGATGTTCCAAATCTCAATACTCTTAGCCCATGGTCTTTTGACAATTAAATGGTTTCTAATGTACTTTTAATTTACTTGATTTCAATTCTTGTCCGAAATCCATTATATTTGCTTTAAAATTACAATTTTTACATATATATCAATGCATGTATCTGCAAGTTCTTTATGTATGTATATTTATAATCAGAAACTCTGTTCCAATTATTTTTTTTAGTATGAATTGATTAAGATTTTCTAGTCTTTTAAAGGTGCATTTTTTTTGTGTTTTGATCATGTTTTGTTAATAGTGGTCTGAAAGTGATTTGAATTTCATATTTTGATGATATTTTGTTACATACGATTTGGTAGTATTTTGTTGACTATGTTTTATTAGTATTTCATTGATATTTTGTTACCTCATTTGCATATGTGATTTGCTGTACTAATAAAACATCAACAAAACACTACAAAGTATTGGTGTTTTGTTGTAGTCAGTATTTTGGTAGTATTTTGTTGACTATGTTTTATTAGTATTTTATTGATATTTTGTTACCTCATTTGCATGTGATTTGCTGTACTAATAAAACGTTAACAAAACACAACAAAGTATTAGTGTTTTGTTATAGTATTTTGTTACCCTGTTTTTTTCATTTGGGTTATTGTTATTTACATTGCGACTTGGTTCAGTTGAGTTGCCCATATTAGACTGTCTGCTCTACAGTTGCAAAGTTAAGAGTTGATCCTTATGTCGTGGGTTCGAATCCCACTGTGGGACATGGAGACCAGTCCTTCATATGCAATTTACTATATACAATGCTTAATATTGATGGAGCCGAAAAGATTTGTCTGTACTGACTACACCCGTTAACAGAAAAAGTGTGCGATGATAGGTACACGTACGTCACAGCAGGTGCATGACATATACCGTGTGATCAGAGATAGCACTCTGGGCAATCCGTGGCTAGCACTTCCAGGACTACTACATTCAGATGAAACGGTATAAACCGAGGTCCTGTGTCACAGTAGGTGCTGGCCCAAAAAAGGTCCCTCACTGCTCAATGGCCTTAATTGCTGAGTATAGAATAAATTTGAAGCTCTATCTGCACCAGCAAATGGTGGCGTCTCCATATGAGTGAAAAATTCTTGAGAGGGACATTAAACAACATAAAAACAAACAAAAAACTTTAATTTGAAAGTCTGACTATTGATAAATTGTCTTGATTGGCTGATTTTATCTATGATTGGATAAAAACATTTTTTATGAAATAACTGTTATGTTGCAGATTATGCACAAGTTGAAGAAAGGAGCTGCTGTGGAATGGTGAAAAAATTCCAGGTAAAAGACAGCCTTTTCCATTATTTTAAAGGGGTATGAACATGCACATTTACTGTAAAATCACAAATTTTCGCGGGGGTTTAATTTTCGTTGTTTTCGTGGTATGCAGAGACCCACAAATTCAAGTCCACCACAAAATGTAAAGTGTTACATATAAAACTACTCAACAATTCTTCAGCCACGAAATCAAATTCCCAGGAACCAAATTTTTTTCCTCAAACCATGACAGTTTGAACCCACGAAAATATGTGATTTTACAGTAAGTATGTTCACCTCTTGGTCAATCTAATTAAAGTTAAATGTTAGATCTACTTGCATACTTGCCACTCTAACATCTAACAATATCCCATAGAGGGTCACATCTAAGGTCAAATTCGGAACAACTGTAGATTTATTCCTTTCAACAAATATTCAATGATTTTGCAGGCGACAATATGATTGGATGATAGAATCTGACCTCTGACTTGACCCTTTGTGAGATGTTGTTACTAGATGTTAGTGTAGCAAGTATGCGAGCGGATCTAACGTTTCTGGGAGTTTTTTAAATTCACAGCTTTTAAGAGTTAGATAATAGATTCTAAATTTGAGAATTTCTATATTTTTTACTCAATCATCTGTCACCATGAGAAATACAAATTATGCTTTAGTTTTTAAATAATTATTTGCACATTTAATTTCAGGAGCAACAAAGAGTCTTGATTTTTATAGGGGTGCAGATTTTAAAGAAAGAAAACTGTGTTGTAAAGAAAGAAGAAGATTTTCCATCAAATAATGGTGGATGACAAAGGTAAAGAGGACAGTAATGGTTAGAAAGAATTAATTATTTAACACAGTGGCAGATTTTTTGTTGCATTGTGTAAATGCTATTCAAAATGTTTAGCATATAAATTTTTATTAGTCCCCTACCGGGTTCGAATTGCGCTAATTTCCGATTGTCGACAAAAACATGAAGCGAGGAAAAGACTGGCATGATGGAGAAATGAGTTGAATATTCGTCTTAACGCGGATTATTTTATTAGTTTTAAGGCATTTACAACTTGAAAATCTTTCAGTTTTACCTTGGACATGACTTTTGCACATTTTAAAATGACATTCTGAAGAAAAAGGGGAACCCGGTAGGGGACATGTATTGCTTATGCAATACTCTCAGAATGCTTGTTAAAATATCATGATGAATGTTCATGCAAATTAATAGCTCTTATCAATGTTTATAGTTTAAGCATATGAAGATTAATCAAAGTCTCTTGAATAATTTCTTTAAAACTAAGCTTTACTCACTAATTTAAAGAAAGGTCAAGGTCCAAAGAAAGGTCAAGTAAAAAAAATAATGATTATGAAGTTGTATAGATCCCAACAATATGTATCTGCACATATGTAAGGTTTGATAAAAATATCTGAAAAAACTCTTGAAACCGAACTTAACATAATTTGACAAAAATTAAGGTCAAGGTCAGAAATAAGAAACTCTTATTAATAAAATATATGTATCAGCATATGTAGTTCAAAGTGTGATGGAAAGACAGTAGGACATGTTATTAAGATTAAGTAAAACTCATTACAAATGTTTATGATAAGGTGAAGCCACAATATTAGGTCATTTTTCATTGAAAAAAGGAACATTTTTTATAAACTCTTTGGAACACTAGAAACAAGTGACCTAGATGGGCATTGTGGCCCATGGGCCTCTTGTTATGTGTAATTTAATTCATCATGAATCAGATGGTATAATGATATTTTTATATTTCAGTTCTTCCTATGAATGATGTCATAACCCACTTTGAAATAAAAATTGTTGGAGAGAAAAGGATCTGAAGAGGGAGAAAGAATTGATTATATTGAGATGGATTTATAGACTGTTAGGCCTTTTGCTATCACTTAATTCTGTACTATTAGTTCTGCAACACTAAGCCTATAAACTTTTGATGTAATGGTTTATCTTATTTGAGAGAGCATAGTCCAGTTTTTAGGCATTTGAAGATTAATAATGCAGAGTATGTACAAATGTAATGGCAGGTAAAAATCCCCACAAACAGGACACTGAAAAGACTGGAATTTAGAGATATTTCATTTCTCTCTTGTGTGAATTAAAAAAAATTAATGCCAGAAACAATATAATAAATTAATAACTTGAGTCTTGTTTTGTGCTTGTACTTTTATGCCCCCATAAATGAAGTTTTGAGGGTATATAGTTTTTGTCATGTCCATCTGTCTGTCTGTTTATCTGCAAAAGCTTTAACCTTGCCCATACCTTTTGATTTTATTAGTGGAGCTATGACTTTCACATTTCACATATGTATTCTTTGTATTAAGACCTTTCATTGGATACCACCAACTTTGACCTTTTGACCTTGGAGATTTAAAACTAATAAAAAACATAGCAAAGATTAAACTTTTCTTAAATGCAAATTTAATTATTTGGTACCAAAAGCAGGGTTTTCTCACTGGAAAGCAATTGTGAAATTTGAAAGTAGTCCAATGTTAAAGTACTTTCAATAAGTACAAATATCACCAAGGTCAACGTACTAGTAATTGATATCCAATGAAAGGACTTGCCACATAGGATACTTATGTAGAGTATGGAAGCCCTAGCCCTAACCATTCAGAAGATATAGCCAAGGTTGAAAATTTTTAAGAGTATGTAAAACTCCAAGGTCAAGGTCAAAGTTCTTGTTATCAAATGAAAGGTCTTGTCACAAGGATTAAAGTGTAAAGTATGGAAGCACCAGCCCTAACCCTTCAAAAGTTATGGTCAAGGATTGCATAAGTAAGTCAAACTTAAAGGTTAAGGTCAAAGGGTCAAAATGCTTGGTATCCAATGAAGGGTCTTCTCACAAGGATAACATATATGAAGTATGAAAGCCCCATCCCTTACCGTTCAAAAGTGCCAAGGTTAAAGTTTTTTCACAGGTACGGAAATACATGTTTAATGGTCAAAGGGTCAAGGTTGTTGGTATCCAATGAAAGTTTTTTTAGACAAAAACACATATGTGAAGTATAAATGTCCTGGTATCTACTGTTAAAAAAATATGGCCAGAGTAAAAGTTAAAACTTTTCATGTAAAAGTGGGTCAAACTCCAAGGTCAAAAGGTCACATTTGGTGGTACCCAAAGAAAGGTCTTGTCACAAGAAATACACATGTGAAATATGAAAGTCATGGCTCTACCAAATCAAAGTTATTGGCAAGGTTAAATTTTTTGCGGACAAAAGACAGATGGACACGACCAATACTATATACCCCTGAAACTTTGTAAAAAAGGTTAACATTGGCAATAACTTTTTAATTGCAAGGGGTAGAGCTTTCATACTTCACACATAATCTTTATGAGAAGAGCCTTCATTGGATACCAAGAGCTTTGACCTTGACCTCAGAGTTTGACTTGCTTTTTTAAAAAATGTAACCAAAATTTTTAAACGGTTAGGGCTAGAGCATCAATACTTCACATGTGGCTGGATCATTTATTGGATACCAATAACTTTGACCTTGGAGATTTCCGGACTTGTGAAAAACTTTAACCTTAGCAATAACTTATAAATGGTAATAGGGCTAGGGCTTCCATACTTCACATATGTATTTTCTGTGGCAAGTCCTTTTATTGGATACCAAAACCTTGACCTTGACATTCCAGGACTTATGAAAAAACATTAACCTTGGCAATTACTTTTAAAGAGTAAGGGCTAGGGCTTTTATACTTCCCATATGTAATTTTTGTAACAAGACCTTTCATTCAATACCAATAACCTTGAGCTTCTGACCTTGATCATGAAGATTTCTGTACTTATGAAAAAACTTTTGCCTGGCCATAACTTGGGAACAGATGGTGATAGGGTTTTCATGTTTCACAATTGTATTTCAAGTTAGGAGACCCTACTTTGGGTACCAATATATTAAATTTTCATTTAAGAGAAGCTCAATCTTCACTATGTTGCCATACTGGGGAATCAGTGTTTCACAAACATATCTTGTTTGGAAATCTACTTGCATGCAAGTTTTTTTTTCAATACTAGATTTGAGTGCGAATTCCCTCTCAAGGTCAAGACACAAATATGAAGCCCACTATGTTAAGTACACATACAGTATATAGGCCATATAGTAGCTCCCATATTTTGAACATGTATTTCCAATGCTGGTGAACAATATTTGGGTCTACAATCATCACATGCATATGACAGAGCTCCAGCTTTTCCAACATGCCTTCCATTATATTGTTTGTCATTCAAGTCCAAAAGAACACCAGAAAAAAATCACTATTAATTTAATATCCATTCAATAACACATCATTACCAGACAACTTAAATAAAATAAATGTGCAAATTACTTTCAGGAATTTTGTTACAAAATATTCAAACAGAAAATGCCTCAATATTTTGGTATATATATATATATATATATATATATATATATATATATATATATATATATAATATACAGGTTTACAAGAGGCTCAGGGATCAACTGGTTCACCTATGAAATGTGGCTAAGAAAAAAGCAAAAATCAGTTTAGTATTGAAAAACTTAAATGCATAAATGGTCCTGACATACCCCTAAAAGGAAGGGGTATGATTTGACAAAATTGAACCTACACTAAATAAGGATGTTTATATATTTTTGACTGTGGCCTTTTTCCCTAAAAGTTTGAACTCTCAGTGTGGCCCCACTCTACATCCAGGGGGTCATGATATGTACAAACTTGAATCTACCCTATCTGACAATGAAAGCACATGAGTATTCACCTTTCTTGGCCCACTGGTTAAATAGAGTATCAAATGTAAATATTTCAATAATGAAAATGTATCAAAAATGCATCATTTCAAATGAAGTGTTAAATAATGTTAAAAAGAAAAAGTTCATGGAACAGGAACAACACATGCAATCTTTCATCAAGAATTCCCTGAAATTTGACAAGACTCTTTTTTCTTCCAAGTTATTCACATTGCAACGTTTTGTCCAGACCGGCACACTCTTCTAAGGAGATTTCTATGATATATATCACGGCTGTGTTTCCCTTATCATCAAACTGCCAGATTTTTGTCCATAGGTCTAAAACTTATGATGTACTCAAAGTCTATCAGGGTGAAGTTCAAACTCCAACATAAAATTTATGGTTCCCGAACCCTCAAAAATAAAATTAAAAACACAACTGTCTTTATAATTATCATTGACACACATAATCATGAGAAAACTTGTAGGGTGGAAAAGTTTTTTCATGATACGTATGACAAGTGGAGGGCTCCCAATGTGACAGCAAACTGGGTTTTTCTTGTGTGAACAGACTTGGCATAAAATTCTTACATGAATAAAAAATGTACATTTGCAAGAGTTGTTTCCCTTTATAAAAAAAACCCCTCCCTATTTTCTCACAATATCCTTTGTAACTTGCATGAATTTTAAAAAAAAATATTTAAACTTCTTTTGACAATTTCATAACGGCAAAGTATGGGGCGACAAAAAAGCCCTCGCAAAATGAACATACACTTTGATATTTTGCACAGAAATGATGAAGGTCAAATAAAGACCCATGGGTCACATTGCTCACCTTAGCTCTTTGGCTTTCAGTATTGAAAAGTAATACTGTATACAGGGAAATTTTCGCCCCTTTCGCCCTTGTCACAAGTGGGTGAATTTAAAACAGGGCGTATTCAAAGAACACAGTATAGATTCTTAAACTGAACTGGGACTGGGCGAATTTAAAACGGGGCATATTTGTAAGCAAGTGTAAAAGGGCGAAAATAACACGGGGCGAAAATAACCCTGTATACAGTAATTCCTACTGGGCCCAAACTAATCCTAAGAGGAGGGGAAGCGGGCATGATTTGAACAAGCTTAAATCTACACCAACTTATGATGCTTTCTATTTCTTTGACTAATCATTGCCTTAGAAGATTTCTAATGATCTTTCCTTTGTATTTTTGTGTAAAACATTGATTTCCATTGTGGCCCCATCCTTAACCTGGGGATCATTATGTATGATAAACAGATGCCAGACACTTCTTAGTCGGAAAAGTTTACTTGAGCCTTATGCCCTTTTCACATGGAGAGTTTAATTCACAGTAAATTAACAAGAAGTAAAATAATGCGTATTTAATTGTGTTCACACGACAGCTAAAGCAAAGTAAACTTATCAAAATTTTATTTCTACATTAGGGAGATCAGCAATGATATTATGACGTCATTTGTTATTCACATCATGTGTGCCGAGCAGATTCAATTGAAATAAAAATCATAGTGTTTTTTATACAATTTAGTGATTAACATATTTTCCTTTATTTTTCCTTAAAACCTAGCACTGATATCTAAATCTAACTATTGACATGGAGCCTGTGACTTAATTCAGGCCTTGCACATGAGTCAAAATTTAATTTTAATTAGCTTCGCTTAGCTTTCACGAGAAGCTAATTCAAATTAATTCAAATAAAAACATAACCTGCATAAGCGGGTTATGTAAATTTTTTCTGCAATAGCTGCGACCGTTCATTCCAGTAATATCAAACAAAGAAAGCCATTTTATTGTTTATATTTATATCTGTTTAAATAATCAATTAAAGTAGGATTAAAAAGATTAATTATTGTATTAATGATGCGAACATCTTTATATGTTTCATTGATGGAACAGCCACTGATTAAGAAATCTGTACAGGCGACATGCCTACTGTAGTTTATGCAGTGATGAACGCAATGGGGTTTCTTAAGAAATAAGGCCAGCATTTTTTTTTTATTTTTAGGTTTACGAACATCAGAATGAAAAAGTCCCGTAGGAGGAGGAAATAAAAATAAAATTATTTTTGGGATACATTATAAACTTTTCTACACTAATTTTTGTTTCTTTTTTGATGCCCTCCTAACAGGCTCCTTGCAACTGAACACGTAAGAGTTACAAAGGGGAAAATAAAACCTTTAATTATTTATTTCATCATCTACCAGTTGGGGCCAGAGACATAAGTCTTGTGATGTTGGACAAAATACAGATTTAAAAAAAATCATTTTTTAAAACTCTTTCAATATATATCTTCATTTTTGTTTTTAATGTGTGTTAGGTGAGAGTGTTGAAATTGTTCTAAAATATACTTGAGACATAAAATAATAATTCCTTTCATAAAACAGA